ATACCCTGGGAGCTTTCAAGACTACCTTAAATTCCAGTCTGTCTTGCTGACAGCACATTGTTGGGGCCTCCCCTGACAAGCAGGAGGCAACCCTGACTGGTGGACACTTGATGAGGAGGTGGGCTAAGAGCTCTCAACTCCTCCTGATCACTTCATCATTGTGGGGGAGGGGGGCCGTGATCAGGTGAGGAACAAGGTCTGCTTATAACGTTCAGCAGCCTCTAGCCATCTGGGCAAGAGAAGTCACCTCAATCAGGATCTACTTGATTAAGTTTCTCCTATGTGAGCCAGGTCACCCCAAACTTTTAATTGGAAAATCCAGGAGCAAGGTTGCCCTTTGGTAGTAGGGATGAGTTAAGTCTGGCTCCTGTTTATGGGATAAACAGAGAGGTCAAGACCAGGCCTTGGGAAGGCATCTGGAATGTGATCTCATTCCTCAACCGGTTCTTGGAAGAAGCTTTTTTTTTATGTGAGCTAAACTAAAAAGTGGGGTTTTTAAACAGAGAAGGGAATATTATAAATTAATATTAATAATTAAATGATATGGCATTAAAATTAATTTTTCTCACTTCTCCTTTTCATGCTGGAAGCACATCCCCTTCCCTCCTCACCACCATATTATGGCATGTTCTTGAACTACAATAAGAAGTTTTGAGGACCAGAAGTCCTTTTCAGACACAGAGCTCGATGACCCAATCCTGAGGATGAGATTGGGCACAAAGAGTGGGTGAAGGAATATGGCAGTCTTTGAAGAGGTCTCATTCCTCTGATCTTAGGGCACCTTCATCTTCTTAGAACATCTTTGAGAGGTGGCACAACTTGGTGGGCTTGGAGTTAGGAGATTTAGATTCAAGTCCTAGTTTTTCTCCACACTTGCTATGTGACCATAAGCAGGTCACTTGACATCTCCAAATCTCAACTCCTCGTGTACAAAATGGACTATGAAAGCACCTAAGACTATTGTTAAGAAAAAATTTTGCAGAGTTAAAAAACTCTAAAAAGTGAATTATTATGACTGGAATTATTATGGCACTGGAATTAGTAATCCCATTCATTGCCTTTGGGAGAGAACGAGGAGGGTAGATGAGGTTCACTTCCATGTTTGGGGGACATAGTTCTTATGAGATGGGACAATAACAGGTTAGGAATCAGACTAAAGCAAGAATATCACTCTCTTGTGGTTAATTCATAGGATGACAGATTTGGAGGAGGAAGGGACCTTAAAGGCTATCTGGTCCAACCCTTCTAATCTTATGAATGAGGAAACTGAGACATCATGAGTTTATATGATATGGTCAAGGGCCAACTGATAGTAAGCAACTGAGCTGTAATTGGAACCTAGGGACTTCTAACTCTAAATTGAGAATTCTTTTCCCCTGGGCCATATATACTTTACTGATCTTCCACCCTCTCCTCTATCCAGCTACCAACCCAATCTTTCTCTCCTTCCCTTTCCTCCTAATCTAGTCACATACTCTCCACACTCACTAAGCAAGGGTATCACACATTTCCAAAGAGCAGTGGCTTCCGGTAGCATAGAGGGACCAGAGTATATGTCTCTGAAGCAGACAGGGCATGTGTCTGGAGGACTGAGTCCTGTACAGAATGCATGTTGAAAACAGCCTGGACACAGGCCTAGCTTGAAGCATGCTCTTTGGCAAGGTCACTGTTACCCTCCTTAAACTACATCCCCTTCCTGTGGCTTTCAGGAAATGAGAATAATTTAAAAGAAAATTCTCAGAAGTACCTTGATAGAGCAGAAAGTGTGTTGTTTTTGGCATTTAAGAGAGAGTTGAATTCAGCTCCCTACCTCTAACACTTACTATCTGTGTGACTACGGGCAAGCCATTTTACCTCTCAGGGCTTCAGTTTCCTCATCTATAATTGGGAATGAAATATAGCCTTTAACTTAATGGGACTGGTGTGGGCCTCATGTGAGATAATGTAGGTAAAGTGCAAGCCTTGAATAGCTATAATAACATTTCTGGGACATGTTATGTTTTTCAGCAAAAGGCTGAGAATTTGATTTTTCCCCAATTTTCCCCAATTCCCACTGCATTAGTTCATTGTGAAAATAAAACCATGATAAAACCACCTGGAGCAGCCCAGAAATCTCAATAGAACTCACTAACAGAACATGTAATTTTTTTCTTTAACTACAGGATATTGCCAATAATTTTGACAGTCTTTTGGCCCAGGTGAATGGAAACCAAGCAGAAATAGCTCAGATAGTGACCCTCTATCTTGAGACTGTACAGAATGTTATATATGAGTTTGCCCTCAATCTCCCTCTTGGAAAGAAAAACTCAGAAAATGAATCAATGGGTAAGACTGGCCACTGACATTTTGCACTGGGTTGGCAGTTTGGGTATTATTCAGTTGTGTGTGCTTTCATAAATGCTCATCTATGGGCCATGTGAAAGTGTGTCTCATTCTATATTATGAGTCCATCATCTCTCTGCCAGGAGGTGTGTAGCAATTTTCAACACAGGTTCTCTGGAATCATTGTTCATCTGAAGTCTTTCAAATTATTTGTCTTTACAATGTTGGTGTCTTGGGGTAAATTGTTATCCTGGTTCTGCTCACTTCACTTTGCATCAGTTTATACAAGTCCTCCAGTTTTCTCTGAAAGCATCTCTCATTATTTCTTCTGTCACGACAATATTCCATTATGTTTATATGCCATAATTTGTTCAGTCATTCCCCAAATGATTAGTTTCCAGTTCTTTGCCACCACACAAAAAAGAGCTGCTGTAAATATTTTTGAACGTATGGGTCCTTTTCTTCTTCCTTTGATCTCTTTGGGGTATAAGCCTGGTAATAGTATTTCTAGGTCAAAAGGTATGCAGTTTTGAAGATACTTGGATATAACTGGGAGAGACCTTTGAATGTATCTGCTCATAACGTAGACAAAGCAGCTAAGATTCCAACATTGTGGAAAATCCTGAAATGCTTTACTCAAAAGGTGACATTACTAGAACACCCTTGTATTCAATTTACAAGAGTTCAAAACTCTGTTGTCTATTCCAAAAGAAGTATCTCAGAAAGGTAAAATTGGGAGGAAAGGAAGGCTCATTTCAAGTTTCCATCTGTGTAGAAAACTAGAATTATCTCCTTGAATATTACTATTAACTTTCCCAGTGTAGAAATGGCTTCTAATAATTGCCTTCCTCTGATTTCTTTTTCTTGGGAGCTAACAGAGTCTAGTGAATAAGGCACCAGAATTGGTAAGAAGGTCACAGGACCTAGAGGTAGACGAGTCAGAGGTAATGCTGTATGATCACCTCATTTTACAGAAGAGGAAATTGAGGCTCAGAAAAGTTTCATGACTTTCCCAGGGTCACAGAGGTAGTAAGTGGTAGAATTTGTATTTGAACTTAAATATGGCATTATTTCCACTGTGCCACAATTGTGAGTTCTGGTCCTTATTTTTCCTCTGGGTTCCCTATGTAACTCTGAGCCACTCACCTCTAAATTTTCTTTCCCCGTGTGCAAAATACAGGTGATGATGATGATGATGATGATGATGATAATGATGATGGTGATGGTGGTGATAAATCCATGTGTATGTTAGAGAATGTATACACTGTATCTTTAGCACTTCACACAGTGCCTGGATCATAGTAGACACTTAATAAATGTTTATTGATTGATTGAACTACTTTCTATTTTAGAGGCATTGATTCATCAAAATGCTCTTCTGTCTAGATGTTTGGGGTCCCTTTAGCAACAAAATGCCTATTTCTCCATCACACAGGTTTCCCTGTCTCCACACCCAAAAGACACTTGTAAAATGTCCGTTTTATGCCACAAGCAAGTTTTGAGGAATGGGCAATAAGAAGGAGTGGGCATTCATTTTAAATTTCCTGTTTTTTTATTAGTTATTCAAACATTGACCTTTGAGAGTGACTGCGACAAAAACAAGTCATTCATCTTGGACACTGGAAATGAAACGATGAATTTTGATTGCATCCCAATGACTAAAAAAGACTCAAAAGGTACAGAAAATAAAAGTGCCAGAATTAAGGCAGAACTTCCTCTAGCATTTCTCATTTATAGTAAGAAGCTAGCTTCTCAGTCAACTCAACTTAACCTAATGAAGTTGTCTCACTAATGTTTGAAAGCTTGTTATTGGGGTATGGGACGGGTGGGAGAGGTAACTTATAGCTGCATGGTTTCATCATTTTGGGGGAAATCCCAGTGTATAAACTGCCTTCACCAATGCAGGTCAACAATTCAACTATAACTTCTTATCTTTTAGAGTTGCCTGGGCATTGAGTGGTTTAGTGACTTGCCCAAAATTACATAACCAGGTCTTCTGGACTCCAAGGCTGAGTATCTATCCACTCTGCCATGCTTGACATTTGGATAGATTCCCCTAATCATTGCCTACATAATTGAGGATTGCATGAAGGGAACATATGACCAAAGTTATGTGTTCACCAAGAATAGATCCTGAATATACACATTTTTAAAACCACATTTATTAAGTACTTGCTATGTGCTATTATCCTGGATGGCAACAAAATTCAAACATCTTTCTTTTCACAATTTCTACTATATTTCTTATGTACATGACCTATTGGGATTGTGAATGTACTAGGATATTGAGTTTTATTCAATAGAAAGGAATACTAATGATGAGAGCTGTTCCAAAATGGAATGTTTTAACATTGCAGGGTTGGCTTTGAATTCCCCATTACTGAAGGACATTAAGCAGAAGCTAAATGATGACTTGTTGGGGATCCAAGCATTCAAGGGGGTGGGGGAGGAGGTCAGACTACACATTTCGGAAATCTCTTTCAACTCTAAAATTCAGTCCCATTATTGACTGGTTCAATGACCCCTTAAATTTGGCCTCTCTTTATAAGATGGCTTTTTTCAAAAGTCCTTCTTAAATAAGTTGCTTTTCTTCTTTCCTAACAGGTGCAGCTGTTCTTATTTCTTACAATTCCATTGGATCCATCATAAACGAGAGGTTTGTCTCCAAGGAAAACCTCATGAACAATAAAGAACCGGTAAAGTTTCATCTAAACTCCAAGGTAGTGAGTGGGGCAGTTGGATACAGGAGTGGTAGTTCCTTGTCCATACCTGTCAACTTCACTTTTCAGCACATCCAGGTAAGTAAAAAGTAAATGGCTTCATTCTTGTTTCTGAACTTCCTGCTCTTGAACTCTGATATGCCACAGATCATGTCCTTCTCCTTCCAGATGAGGAGTGGGAGAGAAAAGCCTCTTTGTGTTTACTGGAACAAGACAGTCTGGTCCAACCAAGGCTGTAATGTCTCCTGGTACAATGATAGTCAAATTGTATGCAGCTGCACTCACCTCTCTAGCTTTGCCATACTCATGGCAACTGTGGAGCTGAAAGTAAGTTGAATCAAATTAATTTCATTTAAAGTCCTTCACAACCCAGCTCCTGCCTGCCTTTCCAGCCTTATTATATACTACTCACTTTCACGTGTTCTATGGTCTTATCAAACTGGCTTTGCTACTGTTCATATATCACATTCCACCTCCCATTTCCATCACTTCACTGTCTCCTGTGCCTGAGATGCTATTCTTCATTACCTCTGTTTCTTAGAATCATTAGTTCAGCTCGAGCTCCATGAAGCCTTCGCTGATTCCTCTCTCTCTTATCCCCGAAACAACCTCCAATTTATTTTGTACATACTTCTAAGTGTATATGTTTGCCATGTGGTCTCCCATCAAAGAATGTGCCCTCCTTGAGGACAGACATGGTTTTATTTTTATCTCTGTACCCTCCAGAGCCTACCTCACAGAGCACCTGCCACATAGTGGTCCCTCAATAAATGCCTACTGATTGGTTGTTCAGTTATAGTGCCACATGAAAGAAGCCATCTAGTAGAGAGACTAATGTGCACTTGTCTTGGAGTCATTAAATATTCTGGTTTGCATTATAACCCCATTTACTACATGGATATGTTTTTCTCTTTAAAGAACATAAATTCTGGGGCAGCTAGGTGGAGCAGTGGATAGAGCACCGGCCCTGGAGTCAGGAGGACCTGAGTTCAAATCTGGCCTCAGACACAGAACACTCACTAGCTGTGTGACCCTGGGCAAGTCACTTAACCCCATTGCCTAGTCAAAAAAAAAAAGGAATATGAGTTTTAAGAGCGGGAATTGTCTTTGCATCTTTAAGACCTATCACAATGCCTGACACATAGGAGGTGCTTAATAAATGCTTGTTGATAGGGGTGACAACATTTTTGAACCCGTTTCTCCATCTGTCAAATGAGGATAATATGTAATGCTTACTTTACGTCTTGAAATGGATGTCTTAAACTCAACATGTTCAAAATTGAAATTGTCATTTTCCCCTCCAAACCTTAGTCTCTTCTCAGCTTCCTACCACCACCTTTCCAGTCACACAGCCTAAGTGATGGACACAACTAGTTTTAAATCTAGGTATCTGAAAGATTCAGCCGAGAAGGAAATGTAACCTGTGGTATTACAAGTCTGTCTGCATATGATAAATAAATGCCATTGCAGTGTATATATTCCACTGATGGTCCAGAAGTATCTGTTAACACCAACATAACCACATGCATCTTTGAAGTCTTCTGGTAGATGGTAATGCAACTCAAAATGGTGACCACTGTTCTCTTTCTGGGTCAAAGGAAGATTGTGTGCTGACAGTGATCACTCACGTGGGGCTGAGCCTCTCCCTACTGTGTCTCTTTCTGGCTGCCCTCACCTTCCTCCTGTGTCGAGCCATCCAGGGCACCAGCACCTTCCTCCACCTGCAGCTCTGCCTGTGCCTCTTCGTGGCCAACCTCCTCTTCCTCTTTGGAATCAAACAAACTCAGCTTAAGGTACAAAGAGCCCTTGAAATTCTTTCCTATAGAAATCAGATGCAGTTATTTTGCTGATAAGGTGCAAGGGTCACAGGGAAGACAAATCACAATAGGTAACTAAGTGAATGGCAAACATTGGGGCTCAATTATGTTTAGGAAGTATTTTTTAATAAATAATATTTGGTAAGGATTTTTGCCTGGGGAGGTGAAACAGCATAGCAAGATGGATAGAGTGCTGAAGTCAGAGTCAGGGGCCTCCTGAGTCCAAATCCTATCTCTGATTCCTACTGTGTGACCACAGGTGAGTCACTTAACTTTTCTGAGTTTTAGTTTTTTCATTTGCAAAAGAGATAGTAAAACTAACCTGACTCCCAGGGCTGTTGTGAGGATCCAATGCGTAAACAGAGGTAAAACAATTTACAGACCTTAAATACTCCCATATTCCAATGGGACCTTGGTTTTGAGGATGTACTCCTCCTCTTATGTCCTCCATATGCTTTGGGAAATCCTCTACCCCTGGCACTACATGGATCATACCATGTCTCTTGGTCCCATCCATCTAGTTATCCGTGACTCATTTGGCCCACCTCCTCTCTGGGCAGGGACTAGAGGAGAGAATAAAAGAGGGTCTCGATGGCCCAAGGTGGCCACAGCTGAGCCCCTACCTGTGGCACTCTAGACCAGGGTGGTGGAGGTGATTAGATTGAGATTAGAGACCAGGACCAAAGGGTGAGGAAGCCTCCCAAGAGCAGGAGGTTATTGGCTGGAAGCTCAGGGCAGCCTCAAGATCATGCTGTTGGGGCAAGGTAGGAGCCTTAGGCCAAATGCAAGGGTGCTCCTTGCCCTGCCCATCACCAAAGAGAGACCAGAAGTCCTACCCAAGAGGAGAGAAAAGGAAATAGGAAACTCAAGACACTCCTTTACATGCGAATTTGAAGAATTTTTTTTCCCTCTACTCCCCGATCCACCATGACTTCCTTATGTATCATGATTTTGTCTCCCCTGTGGAAATTTCCCTGGGTTCCTCAATTTCCCTCATGTGGTGTAGTACAGAGAAAAAAACTGGCCTCAGACCTATGAATATTTGGGTTCAAGTTCCCCTCTCTGACACATAGTGGGTGTGTGATCCCAGGCAAGTCGCTTGATTTCTCAGTGCCCTCGGCAATGCTGTAGGTGCCAACCTGTATTGGTAGAGAGAGTTTCCTCACCTGAGAATTCCCTGTGCCAATGATATCACAGGTCCAGACCCCATCCATCAATCCTCCACAGGGATCAAAATGAGATGCCCTTGCTGTTACACTTTATAAATATCAGTGTAGAAGAGGGGAAGTGTGCTTCTTCACCCCTGGAATGAGTTACAAAGGGAGGTTGTGAGATTTCCATCTGCTCTCTATATACCAAGCATGTGGCATGCAATTTATATGTTAAAATGTGAGCTCCTTAAGATCAGAGACTGCTTTTTAGTTTTCTTTGTTTTCCCAGCACCTAGCACAATGCCTGGCACATAGTAGGCACTTTATAAATGCTTGTTGCTGGACACAGAAGGCATGCTCCTCACCTTCACCAATGACACAAGACTTGCAGTGATTACAAACATCCCAGATGACAGTCAGGATCTAAAATGAAATAGACAGGCTGGAGCATTCAGCTGAGTCGAATAAGATCAGATTTGACAGAGATAAATAAAATGTCTTATAGAATCAGCTTTGCAACAACAAATCGGGGAGACATGGTTAGCCTGCAGCTTGAGAAAGACAGCAATGTAAATGGGAAATAACCACACATGCACAAAAAACTAAATTAAATGTTGAAAAATTATAAAAAAAAAAACAAACATGGCTCAAAAAAAGAGATATGAGAAGCTATCCCCCACCTCCATCCCTTTATAGAAGTAAGAGATCATTAGATTGTAAACCTCTCCAGGGTAAGAGCTGTCTTTTGTCTCTTCTTTTATCTCCAAGCAATTAGTGCAGTGCTTGACAAATAGTAGGTGCTTAATAAATGTTGATTGATTGATAGGTTCCCCATTATGATACACTACACATATTTTCAGACTTTTGTGATATATTGGTCAGTTTTGCTGATTTTCTTTCCTTCTTTTTTTTTTAAAGAATATTTGTTACAGAGGCAGCTAGGTGGTGCAGTGGATAGAGTACCAGCTCAGCAGTCAGGAGGACCTGAGTTCAAAACCAACCTCAGACACATTATACTCACTAGCTGTGTTACCTTGGGCAAGTCACTTAACCCTATAGCCTTGCCAAAAAAAAAAATAAGACTTTGTTATAGAGAATAGCTCTCAGGGAGGGGGAGGGGATACTGGGAGAAATTTTGGTGATATCAAAAAAAACAAAGCATCAATATAAATTTATTTTTAAAATAAAGAAAAAGACAAGGGGTCAAGGAGATTGTTTAAGCTCAGCGTGAGTCAACAGCGCCATATGGTAGCCAGGTAAGGAGGTGATAATCCCACTGTGCTCTGCCCTGACCAGGGCTAATCTCTGGAGGATTGTGTTCAGTTATGGGCACCATAGTTTAAGAAGAATATTGATAGGCCAGGATGGTGAAGAAAAGAAGAATCTTTTGTACGGTGACTAGTTGAAAATAAGGAGGCTATTTAGCCTGGACAAAAGAAAACATGGAACTTGACTCTGTGTTCAAATAGATCTGTCCTTGTTTTCTTTGGTCCCTGAGGATAGAATCAGGAGCAGCAGAAGGAAATTTCAAAGAGGTGACCTTGGGATTGATGTCAGGACAAGCTTCTCACCAATTTGTTGTTGTTGTTGTTAAGTTGTTTTCAGTCATGTCTGACTTACCATGACCTCATTCGGGAGTTTTCTTGGCAGAGATACTAGAGTAGTTTGCCATTTCTTTCTCCACCTTATTCACCTCCACCTCCAGGTGAGGAAAGGAGGCAAAGAGTGTCAAATGACTTGCCCAGAATCACTCAGCTAGTAAGTGTCTGAGGCTGGATTTGAACCCACGAAGAGGAGTCTTCCTGACTCTAAGCCCAGTGCCCTATCCGCTATGGTGCCACCTTAGAGCTATCTAAAAGTGGAACAAACTGCCTTGGAAGCTAGTAGATTACTCTTAATTGGAAGTCATTAAACAGAGGACAGATGATCATTTATGGATTTGGGGATACATCATAGTAAGAATTTCTTTCTAGTGTGGGTTGAACCCAATGGCTCTTGATGTTTCTTCTAATGCTAAAACTATTTGATTTTGTGATAAAAATATAGTCAATTTTCATCTTTCTTGGATGATTCAGAAACATGTCCATCTAAAGGCAAGGGAATAGTAATTGAAATTTCTATAGCACTTGAAGGTTCTGGGGAACTTCTCTCCCAAGAGGACTGGAACTTCACAGGAGAGGTATACCCATCATCGGGGGGGTCCAAGACAAGGTGAAAGCCAGGAGGTCAAACCAGAAGCAAAGAAATGTATGAGAGTGCTCAGGAAATTACAGATATCTTCCTAGGGTACAGGCTTTGTTTTGATAACTTCAGGCCTGCTTAGAGTACAGAGCTAATCAGCAGTATTCTGTGGCAACTTAGGATAAGTAAGTAACACTTTCCACAGGAGCAGGAGGTGTAGGGGAGGAGGAATTATTAAAAGAAAGAAGGAGGAGGGATTTCTGGGGGAGTATCTGGCGTGTAGCCAGCAGGGTTTGTTATCAGAAGGAGAGGACATTCCATGTTCAGGGGCAGGAGATAGGGGGAAGTGACTGATACTTTTGTAAATGTGAAAGCAGTCCCTTTAGACAAACCTGCAGGGTTGAGATGACCATTTAGACCAGACTGCACATGTCCCTCATCCAAGGACAAGGAGCTACTACTTCAGGGGAACAGACCATCCTCTTTTTACTGCATACTTGCATCATTTGTTATATTATGTTTCTCCTTCAATAGCAGGTGGGGACTTTCTATAATTAGGCCACCAGATGGTTGGGGTGGGAGGAGTCCCTACATTATTAGTCAATGAAAATATTGCGGTTCCTATGTTTCCCCCACAAAGGTTTGCAAAGTGCTTTACACCAGTTATCATTTGAGCCCTGAAATTACCATCTAAGGTAAAGACGACAAATATTTTCCTCATTACATGGATGAGAAAAGTAGGAATTGTAGGAAAGACCTCTCTGAGGCCATCTAGTCCAGTGATTTCGTTTTGCAGATGAGGAAACTGAGACCCATAGAGTTTGAGTAATTTGTCCAAGGTCAAACAAATAGTGAGGGTCTGAGGTAGGATTTAAACCCAGGTTTTCCTGACACCAGGTCCAAAATTTACTCTGCTACACAGCCTCAGAAAAGGGAATTCTCAGGGTCACTCAGGATTCTATAGCTTTATATTAAAAGAATTAGATAGGAAGTAAAGCAGCATTTTCCTCACTCCACCCTGGTAAATTGTGGGCTTTCCTTTCCATCTATACACCAACCATCTCTGTCTTATCTGTTTCTCTCAGATCGTGTGTTCCATCATTGCTGGGGGGTTGCATTACCTATACCTGGCTGCCTTCACCTGGATGTTCCTGGAAGGGCTTCACCTTTTCCTCACTGTCAGGAACCTCAAGGTTGCCAATTACACCAGCGCAAGCCGGTTCAAGAAGAAATTCATGTGCCCTTTTGGCTATGGGATCCCAGCTGTGATCGTGGCTGTGTCGGCAGCAACTAGCTCCCAACACTATGGAACACAGTACCAGTGAGTGGGGCACATCATTTGTGTCAGTGCGTTAACCTACACACTCAATTGGTGTTCTGCAGTTAAATCTTTTTTCATTCTTTCCCAATTTATTTCTCACAATTCAAGTTACCTCTCTCATGAGGCTGGATTCCAATAACTCAAGACTCACTGCCCAGCCATTTCAACCCAATGCTTGCTCCCATCAAAGTCCGTATTAAGTGACTTTGACAATCTATGGAGCCTATGCACAAGTTTCTGGGAGAAGCGTTCTGGCAAATTTTCCCTGATAAAAAAGGCTTTCCCTTAGGACTAAACATTATAACAACATGGCCTCCATCTATCCACACCCCTCTACTTATAAATATCTTTAAATCAGAGAAGCAAGTTCAAGAATTGAAGAGCAGGCAAGTCCCAATTCAAACTATCCAATTCTGAAGCACCTACGACCCATAATTTGCATAGTATTGCCCATGGGACTGAGCAAACAGGGACGCAATATGATAAATCCTTGCTGTTAGGTAGCTTACAGGCTACAAGACTTGTTCCCCAATAATCCAAGCCTGGAATACTTCTCCTTCCTTCCCCTAAGATCTTAGAATCTCTAGCCTCCTAGGCTCAGCTCAAGTACTCCCTTCCATAGAAGACTCCATATATCAGTGGCCTCCCCCAATGATTTATATTTTTTTATTTAATTGGTATTTACTTATTGTGTATATATTTTTGCCCCCAGAAGAAGTAAACTCCTTGAAAGCAGGGACTATTTCATTTTTTTTTTGTCCCTGTGTCCCCTATGCTTAGGAATCCAACAACAAATGAAACAATTCCTGCCTTCAAGGAGTTTGTATGATATTATTCATCTACTAGGCCACATTTCCTCTCTTGGCCATCTTGCAGTAGATTTTATACAAAACCAAAAGAATGTTTGCGTGCCCTTTACACCCATTTGTGATGCCATCCCCAGGTGTTTCCATCTTCACTCAATACCACTGATACAGCCAAAATCATAATCGCTAACTATGGACATGATAATGGAAAGAACAGACATAAGGCATAAAACAGATAATTCCCTGTTGAAGCAAATCCTACTGAGATAGTCATTCAATAAACATTTTAGCCAACAAACATTTACTCAGCATGTGTGGAGCATTGGGTTCAGAAGAATGTGCTCAATGCCAAGGGACACAGGATGCTTAGCTAAGGCACAGCCCCAGTCCTCCTGGAGCTCACACTCTATTAAGGGTAGGAATAAGGCACCAATACAGGAAGCTAATAACATACAGTTCAAATAATAATTACATCAGAGAAGAGCAAGAGAAGTGCTTTGTTAAGGTAGTGAAGGAAGATCAAGAAGAGGAATCAGGGATGGTTTCATGGACAAGAGAGCCTTGAAATTCAATAGCAAAATAGAAAAGGATGATACTCTGGATAGGAAACAGCCTGAGCAAAGGTTCTGAAGCAGGAGTGTGAAGGACAGGGTGGGGATACCAGAGGTTTGCCCAGTTTATTAGATCACATGAAGAGGGGAAAGCAAAGACTGGAAGGGTAGGGTGACATTAGGTTATGGAAGGTCTTGAACTCCAAGCAGAGGAATCTGAACCTGATTCATTGAGCAAAAATGTCACAATATTTTTGAGTAAAGATTGATTGTATAAGAAAGATTATTCTAGCTGTAATTTTAAGAATACCTGGGAAGTAGGGAGAAAGCAGAGCCACCTAAATATAGGTATACAGAGGCTATTGCAAATAGCAGTAGTTAAGTAAACTATTATTTACTTATTACAGAAGTTTATGGAAGTAAATAATATTGGAAATCAGATTGGATTGGCCATCATGCTTGGCAAATATAAAGTGCTCCATGGATTCCTTTGGAAAAGCTAAGGCTAAGTTTCCTCTACCTTATGGAGTGTGAAAGTGTGCCATTTGACATTTTTCCATTTTACCTAATTATCCTGCTAACAAACCCCCCCCCCCCCCAACTTCCTTATTACTGCCAAGGGTACCACAATGTTCCCAGTCTCCCAGGCTTGCAAGCTACAGGTCATCCTCGACTCAACACTCTCACTCCACAAATCCAATCAGTCACCAAGTTCTGTCAATTCTTCCTTCACATCTCTCTCATATGTCCCCTTCTTTCCTCTGATCTTGCTACCATCCTGTCACAGGCCCTTGTCACCTTGTGACAGGACTTTTGCAATTACTCCCTGCCTTGATTCTCTCCTCATTCCAATCCATTCTCTCCTCGGGTGTCAAACTGATCTCCCTAAAGCACAGGTCTGACCATATCATTTTCCTATTCAGTAAACTCTGGTAGTTCCCTACTGTGTCCAGGATTAAATATGAAATTCTCTGTTTGGCTTTGAAAGCCCTTCACAACCTGGTTTGTTCCTACTTTTCAGTCTTCTTGAATCTTATTCTCCTCCACATATTCTGCCATCCAGTGACATTGACCTCCTCGCTGTTCCTTACATAAGACACTCCATTTCCCAACTGAAGGCATTTTCACTGGTGGTCCCTCATGCTTGGATTGCTTGCCCTCCTCATCACCACCTCCTGGCTTTTCTGGCTTCTTTCAAGTCGCAGGTGAAGTCCTACTTTCTACAGTAGACTTTTCCCAGTCCTCCTTAATTTTAGCACCTTCCCTCTCACCTGTGGCTCTAAGAAGCTGTAACACAGTGATCGCACCCTGTTAAAACCATCTCAGCAGATGGGCTAAACCAGTTTGAGGGTAACCAAGAGGTTTCAAATCCATTGATGGGTTAGAAGGTATCTACCCAAGAACGTAAAGATTTCCCCCAGTGAAATGGGAGGATGAGAAAAAATTGTTCCAAAGTCTATGAAGGCAGCTGAATCAGATATTGCGGAGCACTAAGAGCTTGGTCAGACACCAAAGATGCCAAGAACATCGACTGCATCCTGAGCCATTACTAGTCGTCTTGACTTTTGTCTTGCCACTGAACTTCGGTGACTCTGGAAGAGAGAGTGGGGCTGAAGGCTTTGCTCAATTTTGCCTCACTTAAATCCAATTCACACACCAGTCGAGATATCACCCATCAACCATTTTTACCCCAATTGTGATTTCATTGGTCCTCTCCACAAAGAAAGAAAAACAACAGCAGCAGCAGCAGCAAGCCTTCACTCTGAGATTACCTCAATTATCCTATATGCAATTTGTTAGTATGCGGCTTCTCCCAATTGACTGGGAGCTTCTTGATATTAGGCACTGTTTTTGCCTTTCTTTCTGTCTTGTTGCCCTGAATCCAACTTAACCCAGAGAAGGACTCAAGGTTCGCTTCCAGTGGACCCAGAAACCACTGACATCCTGAGGTGATAGCCATCCCAAGATCCTACATGAGGACTGAGTACGTGGCAACTGTCACCACTCATTAATCTTCTGTCTTTACCTTTGCCCTTATGCTCTTATTTTCATTAACTGTCTTTCTGTGTCTTTGTTAACCTCTCATTCATGTTGTATATGTTTTCATAAGCCTTGCTAAATCATGATGTTTCCTTTGGTTTTTGTACTGCGTACATTCTTGTCTACTGTATGTCCAGTCAGATTCTGCCCAGTAGGCTAATATATCTTCCTGCTGGATTTGTGCCTGAAACAGGCATTCACTGTTGGGGCCTGCTTCTGAATTGTTTGGAGTGACTGCACCCCTTTCAGTTTGGGGAAATGACTATTCCATGGTACTCTTAGCTGTATTAAAGCTAGGATATGCCAACTTCACCAGTGCTGGCCAGCTCTTTGGGTGGACTCATTCCCCAGGCAGGTGAACCTGTTCATGAAATATCATGTTTGACCAGGAAGTTATCCCTTTGCATTGAGGTTCCCCACCACCCTTCCTTACAATTTGTAGGGACTGTTCCTCTTTTTGTGTTAATTACACAATCCTGGTAAATCTAACTGGGACATTTCCTGTATTCCAGGCCCCTACTACATTTAGCTGTTCAGTCCCACGCTCTCAATGGCCACTGCATTTTTGCTAGAGTGCAAAAGAGTGCTATTCTGATTGTGATCATAGCCCCTGCTGTCTGTTGCCTGGAACCCCACTGGTGTTTAATGTTTGTATTGGGAACACTGCTACCTTCACTGCAATTCCCCTTGGTGACAATACAGATGAATACAGATGAATCCCTTTTTGTCCTCCTCCAGGGATTTCACACCATCCTCCCCAGCACCTATGTTGCCACGCAGGATTGAGTGAATCAGGGACTCTTCTGGGTCTATGGCCATGACATTTACCTCTCTCTTCCCCTTCAATGGACTGGGCAGTGTGGTGTGGAGTTGTTATACTGATGCCTGATATTCACCTCAGGCTCCATCTTCCAGCAACACTTGTCTCCAACCTTGGCCTTCTGGAAGCTGCCTGCTTTTGCCCTGGGCCAGGGCAATTCTGGGTGGTGGACATTCTTCTGCTCCACTTTCCCATGGTTTGGCATGGTGTCTCTTGAGGCTGCCCTATAGGATGTCTCTGCATAAGTTGGTGAATCGATAAATACTACTTCCCAGTCAATCTCTGCTGTTCGTGAGGAGCTTCTAACTTTCAGGAGTGCTCCTGGAGAACTGCCATGTTCACGCCTTGACTGCAGCACAAGGTGGGACCTGTGCCTGCACTGGAGAAGAAAAGAATGTGGGCTCTCTATTAAGTGATCTGCTATGATACAAGAAGGCCCTGCAGCCTGAGAGGAAAAGGCTTCTTATTCCTATGCTATAGGGCATTGGAATTCAGGTCTGTTTAGCTGGTTCCCCAGAGGCTCAGGCCATCCTTCAGGGGTAGGGTCTCTTGTTAGCTATTTGCTCACCTTTATCTTTGTCAAATATCTCTGTACCCTCGCCTCCAGATGCTCAGCCCGGGTGGCATCCAAGATAATGTTTAATCACGTACGGTCATTAGCATGTCCAGATGCTGCCTTGACCACCATGCGGAAATGTTGCTCTGAATCCAACTTAACTTGTCTTCTTGAGTTGCCATATATTCCAGAAACACTAGACCCAGAGTGTGCAGGAAACCCTAAATGTGTCAAGGATGAACCCCTCCCCCGACAGCTGACATAATTTCTTGTTTGCACCCCATGCTGGACTCCCTGTGTGTCTTTGGAGTCAAGACAGGCACCAGTCAGTCTGCACTAGACCGCGAAATTGCTGGTGCAGCTGGGACTCTTGTAGATAAGCAGACCATCCCATCTTACTGGTCTAGCACAGGGGTGGGGAACCTGTGGCCTTAAGGACACATGTGGCCTTCTAGGTCCTTAAGTGCAGCCTTTTGACTGAATCAAAACTTTACAGAACAAATACTTTTATTTTTATTAATACATTTTTGTTCATCTTTTAAATTTTTATTTTATTTATTACAGGTAAATGTTAATGTGGCCTTCCAACACCTGTTCTAGCAGTTCCTGAGGGAAAAGAATTTGGCTTCTGCCATCACCTTGCTCCTCCCCTTCAGGAGGGGTTTAGTCCTTTCCCCAGCCCTGCTGCTCCTTTCCTCCTCCTACGCCACTCCCATTTAGGAGGAGATTTCTGTTTCCCTCTGCTTCCTTTATTGCACTTTCATAAACATGCCAGCTTCTGTTTAGAATGTGAACTCTTCTCACTTGCTTGGGGTTCTCCATGCATGTTCATTTCTCTTGTAATAAACCTCATTTTTCAAGTATGTTTCATGAAGTTCCGATGGCACGTAGGCAATCTTCAGCATTCAGCACGGTGTTTGGTACATAGCAGGAGCTTAATAAATCCTAATTGACTAACTAGGTACTAAGCACAGTCGTTCCCACTTTGTTGAAGGCAGATAAGGGCTGTCAGTGCCCTGCGGCAGCCGGATGCCTGGTTCTAACTAGAGCCAATATCTTCCTTTCATTGCAACCAACATCTTCAAACTAGAATCCTCAATTGTTCTCTGATTGCTTAATGTGCTTTAATGTCGTCTCTCCAATCAGATTATAAATTTCTAGGAAACTTGTATAATGGTTGGAGAAGTGGACGTGGAGCCTAGTGACCTGAATAGGAAACCCAGCTTATGACATCCTACTCGTGTGACCTGGGACAAGGCGATTCACCATCTGGGCCACAGTTTCCTCATTTCTAAAATGAAGAAGGTGCACTAGATTACTTCTGAGGTTCCTTCCGGTTCTAAATCTATGGTCCTATGACCTCTCAGAGCCTCAGTTTCTTCATCTGCACAATAGAAATAACACACTTCTACTGTCTAGCTCACAGGGTCACTAGGAGGATGAGGCTTGGCAAATCTTAAAAAGCCATAGGAACATGAGCTATTATTAATTCAATTCAACTCAGCCAGTGTGCATAAAGGACCTCCTATGTGTCAGGCCCTAGGCGAGTCTCTGGGGTTACAAAGATTCTCTTGGGGAGCAGATACTCTCCCTGATCCTGACTTGGCTGCCCAAATCCCCAAAGCCAGGCTGGATACTCCAATTCAAAAATGCTCATTTACAGGTGTTGCTATTTCCTCTTTCCAGTTGCTGGTTGAAGATAGAAAAAGGAGTTATCTGGAGTTTCATAGGACCAGTGTTTGTCATCACATTGGTGAGTCAAAAAACAACCTTTTATTTTCTGCTTCAGTCAAAATGAGCTAAAAATCAAAAAGAGTAGCAGACAGTGGAAATAGCCCTGGATTTCATATCACAGGGCTGGGCTCCAAATCTGGATTCTGCTGCTTACTCCCTAGATTGCATGAGATAAGTTACTTAGTCAACCCATAAATATGTGTAACTATTTACTATATTCTAGGCCGGGTGCTGGGTGCTAGGTATAGAAAGGCAAAAACACATCCCCTGCCCTTAAGGAGTTCATATTTTAATAAGACTGACAACGTGCAATCAACTCTGTACATATAAGAAATATGCAGGATAAATGGGAGGAAATCTCAAGGAAAAACCATGAGGCCCTGGGGGTGTATGGAGGAAGCACAGGGAACTGGGAAAGGTCTCTTACAGAAGATGGGATCTGAACTGAGTCCGCTGGTTATCAAAGAATGATCCATATATCCCTGGGGAGGACAATAGGTTTGTCCTCAAAGTCAAAACTACGTTCAAAATAATTTTTGCTGTTCAGTCATTTCTGACTCTTTGTACCTCATTTGAGTTGTTTTTTCTTTGGCAGAGATACTGGAGTGGTTTGTCATTTCCTTCCCCAGCTCATTTTTACAGATGAGGAACTGAGGGAAATTGAGTTAAGTGACTTACCCAAGGTCACACAGTTAGTAAATGTCCGAGGCCAGATTTGAACTCATAAAAATGAGTCTTCCTGACTTCAGACCCAGCACTCTATCCACTGTGCCAACCAGCTGCCCTTTAAAACAATAAGATGCTATTCGCCTGTTAACATATTCATCCTTTTTCCAACTAAATATTGGCAAGACTCAATTTTCTTCATATAGTGGAACTGAAAAAAAATCACAACATATTGAATACAAAAGCCTTCTATTAAGCCAGACATCAAAGCAGTAAAGAGATTTGCAAAAATATTTATGTGTGTGTATATCTATCTATCTATATATATATATGTATATATATTATGTATGCATATAGATATGTATAAGCAATGGCACTCACTAAATTTTTGTTTTGGAAAAAATAGTTTTTTTAAGAATAAAAAATGCTATTCATGTTAATACATAGTAGGTTTATTGTTATTATTAAATGAATAAATATGTTTAAAAGTTTCTCAGTTTTTATTTCTAAAATGGAAGATATCAACAAGGAAGTTAAGTCAGTCAGAAGATTGAGACAAAGAAAGAGAGCATTCCAGGCATGGGAGGCAGCCAGTTAAAAGGCAAGCGTTTGGGAGACGTAATGTTGCGTGTGAGGAACAATAAATCAGGGTCACTTGATTGTGTAAATTGTAGAAAACATGAAGGGCAATAAAGTGTTCATATGCTGGAAGGGTAGGAAGGAGCCAGGTTTTGAAAGCCGTTAAAAGAGAGGATTTTATATTTCAACATGGAGGCAATAGAGAGCCAGAAGTTATTGAGTAGTGGGGTGGGCTTTAGGAAGATCTCTTTGGCAGTTGAGTAGATGATGGACTGGAGTGGGGAGAAATGAGTCAGGGAGACCAACCAGAAAGTTATTGTAATAGTCCAGGTGAGAAGTGATGAGACTCTGGACCAGGGTGCTGGCAGAGTTGGAGAGAAGGTTATGTACATGGTTGTTTTCCTTCCTTCTCAAAGATGACCAAAATGACACTGCTATGTTGGGGTAAAGGTACAACCATATGTATATGAGAAGTGTTGTGAAAGTAGAATCAGGGTCAGCTAGGTGGTGCAGGGAATAGAGCACCAGCCCCGGAGTCAGGAAGACCTGAGTTCAAATCTGGCCTCAGACACTTACTTGTGACACTGTGTGACCCTGGGCAAGTCACTTAACCCCAATTGCCTTAAAAAAAATTTAAAAAGAAAGAAGAATCAATACTTGGAAACAGACTGGATATTTGGAGTAATTCTGAATGAAGATACTAGGATGACACTGAGGTTGTAAGCCTAGGTGACTAGGAAGATGGTGGTCCCCTAAACAGGAACAGGGAGGATCAGAAGAGAAAAAGTTTGGGGACAATAATAACAAATTATCTTTCTGATGCGTTCAGTTGGAAATGCCCATGGAGCATCCAATCTGCAGTTGCTTACATGAGACTGGAGGGTAGGAGAGAGATTAGGGCTGGATGAAAAAAAAAATCTGGGGATTATCTGCATAAAGATAACAATCAAACCAATTCTGCTTTTCTTCATTTATAAAATAAAGGCATTGCACTGGATGGCTTCTAAATTTTCTTCTATCTGGAAATCTATTATCCTGCATTAAAACTGCAACAGATCAATCATTGAACATAGGGATGAAGTTGTTATATCCACTTTTGGCATTTATCATAATCTAAAGGTCCAATTATGTAAAGAAAGAGGCAGCATGGATTTGTTAATCAACTCCTGAACTTGGAATCAGAAGGGCCTGGTTTCAAATCTTTCTTCCAACATTTACTAGCTGTGCAACCATGAGCAAGTCATTTAATATCTTTTTGCCTCAGTTTCTTCCTCTGTAAAAAGGAGATATTGGGGGGCAGCTAGGTGGTGCATTGGATAGAGCACTAGCCCTAGAGTCAGGAGGGCCTGAGTTCAAATCTGGTCTCAGAGCAGACCCTTGACACTTACTAGCTGTGTGACCCTGGGCAAGTCACTTAACCTCAATTGCCTCAACAAAAAAAAAAAAAGGAGATATTAATACCTGTAGAACCTACCTCACAGAGCTATTGTGAAGATTCAGTGAGATACCATTTATTATGCTCTTTGCAAACTTTGAAACACTCAGTAAATACCAGCATATAACTCACTTCGTTTGAAGTCGGGGCTTGCTCCAACATTTCTTCATGTATCCCTGTTCTGATGCAATTTTGTCATCTACTTGTGGTTCTCTTATACCTCAGTAGAGCACCCTTGAGCATTTTCATCAAATCTGTGTGTCCTATCCCTTTCTGAACATGGCCTAAATAATATCCTACAATGCTGGGGCGGGGGGAGCTAGATGGCACAGGTGATAGAGTGCTGAAGCTGGAGTCAGAAGGACCTGAGTTCATATCTGGCCCCAGACACTTATTATGTTTGACCCTGGGCACATTACTTCACCCTGTTTGCCTCAGTTTCCTCATCTGTAAAGTGAGCTGGAGAAAGAAATGGCAAACCATTCCAGTATCTTTGCCAAGAATGACAAAGATGGGGTCAGGAAGAGTGGGACACAACCGAAATGACTAAACAAGAACAGTGCTGGGGAACCAGTTCCTAGGTCTGTAGGTTGGAAGGTTACAACCATGTTGGTTGTAAATATTGACCCGAGTTTGGTTCAAAGTTAGCGTTTCTTTCTGTTCCTATAGATCAACTTGTTCTTTTATTTGACAACCCTGTGGATTTTGAGAGAGAGACTTTCATCACTCAACAAAGAAGTGTCCACCATCCAAAACACAAGGTAAGTTGGTCAGTCCCTTCCTTGCCAGAAAAGTCCAGGGATTTGGAGGAGTCTAAAGCAAAAGTGAGGGGGGCATTGGCTGGGTAACTGTAGAGGGTGATATTGCTCTAGCCTGGCTTCCAAAGTCCCTTCCAATGCTGAAGTTCTGTGAACTCTGTGGGCTGAGCTGATTCAACACCTCAACAGTATATTTCTATTGGGTAATAATAATGAGGAGGAGGAGGAGGAGGATAGCTCCCACTTATAAGGTACTTTAGAGTTAATAAAGAATTTTCCTCACAAAAAAAAAAAAGGAATTTTGCTCACTATTGTCCTTCAAGGTATACCACAATAGACATTATCATCCCATTTTAAGAATAAATGACTTGTCCAAGGTCACCTAGCTATATAAGTCACAGGGATGGGGCTTGTACTCAGGCTTCTTGACTCCAAGTCCAGTTGTCTGTCCCCAAATGTCTCTTCCATAGTGGTATTACTTGAACATGAGCAAAGCTCAGGTTATTTATGCCTGCAAAGGCAGCCTTGAAGAAGGATAGTCAAAAATAATCCTCAGGAATGGGAGAAAGGGGAAAGAAGGGGGGTAAAAGCCATTTATGTAGGACCTACTGTGTGTCAGGCACTGTGCTAAGTGCTTTTTATAAAAATTACCTTGTTTGATAATAGGATATGGACTATTTGTGCCTGACCTGTGGTAAAGCCTTCTAAGCTCACATTGGTCTGATCAGCCAAGTTGGACACACTGTACCTTGACTCCAACATAGTGATGTCATTTTGGTCCTCTTTGAGAAAAAGGACAACAACCAAATGAGAATGGGAAGCGTTGAGTTGGGTAGAAGATAAAACATAAAAGACGAATCTCATCTCTGCCTCTTGGTTTTCATAGGTCCCTGACAATTAAAGCCCTAGCTCAGCTCTTCATCCTGGGCTGCTCCTGGAGTCTCGGCTTCTTCCTGATTGACTCTATAGATGAACCAACCAGATCAGTCATTGCCTATACCTTCACCATCATCAACTCCCTGCAGGGGGTCTACATCTTCCTGGTACATTGTGTCCTCAGCCGCCAGGTAATACGAGGCTTTCATCCTCTTACCAGCTCACATGAAGAGTCCCATTTCCAAGAAGTACAGATTCATAGAATCTCAGAGTGGAAAGGGCCTCAGAGGCCATTTCGTCCAATCCATACCTGAACCAATGTCCCCTCTACATCTTGCCTTACAAACACTCACCTGGCCTTTGCATGAAGACATCCTGCCACTCATTGAGACAGCCCATTTCATATTTGGATAGCTCTAGTTCCTAGGAAATGTTTCCTTATTTCAAGGCCAAATTTGACTCTTTGTAACTTCTATCCTCTGCTCCCATTTGATAGCTACACATCATCTATTTCTTTCCTGACTCATTGTACTATCTCAAATGTTTTCTTCGGAGAGGGTGCTCCTTCTAACCAATTACTTCCCTTGTTTTCAATTTTCCGATTTCCTATCACTCGACTCTACAACAAAAGTTGTGTTGTGATTCCCTTAACTCATTTTCTTGATGAAGAAATAGTTCTTGGCAGAACAGGCAGTAACTCATTTGGCAATTTTTTCTTAATTTTCTTGAAGCTTTTACTGTTTTCCTGATGACAATACTAGCTCCTTTTTTCCCCAAAAGGATTACGATAAAAACATAGGAAGCATGTAAATATTTATCTAATCCTCTTTGTCAAACTGTCAGTGGTAACAAAGAGAGGTCACCTGGGGTAATAGCATGCTCGTGGCTAAAGTCATTGCCAAGATCATGTGGATCCCAACCCTGCCAACTCATCTGGGACATTTCTTTCCATCTACCTTTAGATATCCAACAAGAGATTGCCTGTAGAGTTTTGAACTTCCTTGAGGTCCAGATGCCCAGCTGCCTAATCTCCCCAGATGCCCAACTGCCTAATTCCTAATTCCCTCACTAAAAATAGTACACAGTAGAATGGACAGCAACTAACAAACCCTGTACAAAATGTGTTAACTGTTTCATCTGTTGTCCTACCTATATAAAATGAACTTTTGTGCCGTCCCTCACAAAGTTCCTATTATAGGGACTTTATGATAGAAAAAGAAACTGAGATAAATGAGCCCTGAACCCAGACCTCACATTCAGAGAACGAACAGGTAAGTTAATATTCTATAGCATTTTTTTGGTAGAGGAAGTCCCTATCTGTGATTTCCTAAGTAGAGGGGACTCCTTGGAATGGAAATTCCCTTTATCAATGTAGATCAGCAACTTGCCTATGACTTAGAATCACAGCAGCCTAGGATACTGAATAACTAAGTGACACAACTAGATTCTGTCAGGGGAAAAAACTGAACCTCAATCTTCTTCACTCCAAAACTGGCCCTTTATCCACTAAACCAAGCTTTTTTTAAATTGTTGTTTAGTCATTTTTTTCAGTCATAGCTGACTCTTTATGATGCCTGCAAAGATACTGGAGTGATTTGCCATTTCCTTCTCCAGCTCATTTTACAGATGAGGAAACTGAGGTAAACAGAGTTAAGTGACTTGCACCAGATGCAGCATGTCTGAGTCCAGATTTGAGCTCAGTCAGGCCCACCATTCTATCCACTGTGCCACCCAGCTGCCCATTAAGTCATGCTAACTCTTATCATGTCCATCAGCAGAGTAATAGCATTAAACAGTTAAAACTCCTTTACTCTTCCCTCCTGGGTTTACTTTTCAAAGGATCTTTGCATCTATAATCTCATTTGTCCTCATAAGCCCCTGTGAGGTCTGTAAGACAGGTAACATTTTCAAAAGCCCTCTGGCCATGAAGCAATAGTGTTACACAATTAAGAATGAGAAGCATCCAATGATGCCATCAGGAGGATGGAAGTGACTTCCCCTGAAGAGCCAGTGTGTTAGGGTCTTTAATTTGATTTTACAAATAAGAAAAATAGAAAGTATTGGACTTGGATTCACAGGACCTGACATTGAATCCCAGCTCTACCTATTCCTATCTGTGTAACCCTGGGCAAGTCATTTCATGTCCTTGGGCTTTAGTTTCTTTAGGTATAAAATGAATTCATCAGATTGAATGATTTTGAAGGTTCCTTCAAGCCCTAAACCCTAATAAACCTTATCTAAATCATGCAGAATATTAAGGAAAAAGTAGACATTAGCATGGATGTGTACACACACAGACACACACACACACACGTACTCCTACCTCTACTTCAGTGATGTGACTGCTAAAATGACCCTCTATGCCAAAATTCAATTCTCTGCCCTCCTGAAACTTTAGGTCCAAGAGGAATACAAGAAATGCTTTAAGAGAAATAAGAAAAGGACTGAAACAGATACCTATATGCTGGCTGTTTCAACTAGCCACAGCAGAATGGTAAGATTATTTTTTTATCACTCAATATCACTGTTCAAATCAAATACCTCAAGTTTGTTGGGTATCCTTGCTCCTTGGTTTGCCAAGAATAGTGTGACCTGATTCCATACTGGAGTCATCTAGAGTTCACAGAGCTGTAGAAACCAATAGCAAGCTGAATTAATTTTCAAATTTTACTTTGAAGTAAGTTTAGTTCAACCATAGGAAATGAAAACCTATGCATAGGAAGAGCTCCTCCTGAGAGGAAGGGATGATAAAGGATATGCTTGATCTTGGCTCTACATACACTACCAGGAAGATGTATCACCCTCGTGAGTGAGAGATTGGGTAAAACTTCATGGACCGCATCACAAACCTACCTTGGACAGCATCACTTCACAAGATCTGGGGTGGGCTGGAGAATCTGTCAGAGAACATTATGTAAGCACAGTACATACTTATGCATGTCTTGCCCCAGGCTCCTGAATAGTTTTTAGCCCTTTCTAAATGAAGAGAAATGAAAATGATCTGGGTGGAGGTTGGGTTTGTTGATGTGAGTTAAACAATGGCCAGAAGTTGCAAAGGTAAAACTAAAGAACCAGTTGTTCATTAAGATGTTAGTTACATGTATGAAATTCTGGAGCTCATAGATTGGACAACAATAGGTCCCTGTCCAGACACCACTTCATGGTTATTTTTTGGGCCCTCCTGGCTCAGAGTGAATATAAATAGTAACTGTTTCTCTTTTGGCCAGCAATCCTGAGCGTCTTCCTCCTCCCAGTTTGATTTTTTTTTATTAAAGGGGCCACCCCTTGACTCACTTCTTAAAGAGACTTCTTCACTGAATGGGTGTTGCCTCACTCAAAGTGAGAACCTGAAGAGACCTTAGCTTAAAAGGACCAGGCTCTCCCATTGCATCCTGGGCTATCTCCAGTTGTTCTGATGAATATCTGGCCATTGGACCCAGATGGCTCTGGAGAAGAAAGTGAGGCCAGTGACCTTGCACAGCCGTCCCTCACTCATATCAAAGACAATTGCAAATCATGTCATCATGTCCCTGATGTCATGGTCCTCTTCGAGAATGAAGGACAAACACAACAACAAGTCACATGTGGCTCTTTCCCAAATAGATCTAATTACAATCACAAACATTTAAAAGTGTACCTCTGATTCATCATGTCTGATTCAAATATGTAAACTAGTTTGTACAAAGTTTATTATGTAAGACCCATTCTTTCATCCTCTAGGCAAAAGTTTTCTGCTTTACAGTTACCTTCTTACTCATTTTCAATATCTTTTTGTCTCCCTTATGTTACCTGCTTCTTTTCTTTCATTTTATTGCCTCTCTCCCTGTGCACCCTCCCTCATCAACACAGCTGGAAAAATAATTGAAGTTTGAAAGGAAAAAAATATGCTACCTCTGCCTGAAAGGATCTCATTGCTCACTCCATCAGCAGACTCCAGCTCCTGGTGGATCAGAAGAAAGAGAGGGAGCTTTCATCAATGGCACATTCAGGAAGTACCATCTCTTGCTGTGCACTTAGAGTACTTAGAACTTGTTTCAGAAAGATGCTTCTGCTAGATCATTTTGTTAGATTTCCTTTATCACTATGTCTATGTCATGTCCTCAGTGACACGTGCCATGCATCTGACCTGTAATTATCTGCTATACAGGCTATTATTAACCCTTTTCCCTGGTTGACCACTTTTTTCCTGAATGGGATTGGGAGGTGGGGAGGTAAGAAAGAAGGAGGGTTTGAAGATGCAAAGGTACCTGCCATTCAGAGGATGCACTAGATTAAGGAAAGGTAGGCTTGGGAGATAACTGTCTGATTTCAATTCTTCCACCCAACTAGTTCTTCAAAGGAATACGTAAGCCAGAAGCTGCCTAGACATTGACATGCTGGGGACTAGAAAAGAAGCAGGAATTATCACTGGGCTATCTCCTTCCCTATATAAATCACCTCATTCATTTTTCCCCTTCTATCTTCCTATAGAAACAATTCTAACCCTCCTCACACCCTCCTTTTCTGATTTTATAAGTTTTTACTTTCAATATTGGTATTGCAATAATATCATCTGCTCTTTTATCACAAATGTACAGCATTTCAGCCATGTGGTTCAAACAAGGGTTGTGTGGGCTAGCCTGGGAATGTGACCACCAGTCATGAAATGCTTTTCATGTTGCTAGTTTCAAACAACCAATTCACAGATAAAGTTTGATAATTTAACTTATTCAGTTACTTATCAGTTTTTGTAGTTACTTTGTAAGTTCATAATCTATAAGCAATATTAAAATAGTTACTACTACTGAGTCATCTCTCAGTATTGTAATTTCAATCTGTATACCATTTTGAGTTAGTTACATGCATGAAAGTAAATAAAGCTAAATTTTTGCTGTCTTAATCTCATTGATCTGGCAACCAAGAGTCTACCAGCTTCATTTCATTACAGTGAACCTGAAAGGAGTCAATGAACAAACTTTAAAGATTTGATGCCAAAAGAAGGAATTAAAAAAATTGAGAATTCCCATTTATGCTTGCAGTTATAAAATTAAGATATGGCCCTAATAATCTTTAGTATCAGTATCCTCAACATCCATAAAGTTGTGACATTTGACAATAAAAGAGGACAGTAGAATGTAAACACTCTAAATGAGACCCAACACTCTTCTATTCCAGAACACAAAAGTTCATGAAAGCAAAATAGAAAGCAGGTGGAAATTTGGTTGCCAATACTAAATGTTTGTTGAATTGAAATAGAACTACCAGAAAAGTCAAAGGACCCTGCTGAAGATAGTGAGTATGATAACTTAAGTGATGGTGAAAAAAATCAAGATGCTTTGGTATTTAATTCAATAATTAAATTTTGCAGAAAGTCACCCAGGCCATCACCTTGATACCTCTCTGAGTCACAGCTCAGCTTAGCTATCATTCACAGATCAGTACAGCTGCATGGGAAGAGATGGGGCAGTTCACAAGCTCTGGGCTGATTGCTCCAGTTATTAGCAAGGCTTTGATTAGAGGCAAGGGAAAGCCAGAAGTATTCTTAATCACTCACATTTCTCTTAATTTAAAGAAATAAGTAGCTAAACCTTCTCCTACTATATCTCCAAGTACTTTACATCTTTATCCAGCTAAACCACACCCATATTCAGTCATGAGATTGAAGTGGCCATGATTTAGACATGATTTAGAACTTTAAGGTTTACAGAGCACTTTCCTTACAATAGAACTGTGAGCTCAGGTGGATGGCTTATTCCCATTTTACAGGTGGGACTTTAATGAAGCCAGTGAATCTAGGAGGAAGAGATCAGGAAGGAGAGCATCAAAGTCAGCCAGTGTAAATACTTGGAGTGATCCAAATTCTTTTTTTAATTAATTAATTTATTTTTAGTTTTAAACAATCATTTCCATACACTTTTGAGTTTTAAATTTTCTCCCCCTCCCTCCCTACATCCCTCCCCAAGATGGTGTGCAATCTGATATAGGCTCTACATATACATTCCTATTAAACATATTTTCACATTAGTCATGTTGTAAAAAACTAGAACCAATAGGAGGGACCACAAGAAAGAAGAAACAAAACAAAACAGAAGAAAAAAAGAGCAAATAATCTGCTTTGATCTACATTCAAACTCCATAGTTCTTTCTTTGGATGTGGATAGCATTTTCCATCATGAGACCTTTGGAGATGTCTTAGATCCTTGCTTTGCTGAGAAGGGCTAAGTCTATCAACGTTAGTCATCGCACAACGTGGCTGTTACTGTACACAACGTTCTCCTGGTTCTGCTCACTTCACTCAGCATCAGTCCATACAAGTCTTTCCAGGTTTTTCTGAAGTCTACTTGCTCATCATTTCTTATAGCATAATACTATTCCATTATATTTATATACCACAACTTGTTCAGCCATTACCCAATTGATGAGCATCCTCTCAATTTCTAATTCTTTGCCACCACAGAAAGAGCTGGTATAAATATTTCTGTACATGTGGGTCCTTTTACCATCTGTATGATCTCTTTAGGATATGTCCCTAGAAGTGCTATTGCCGAGTCAAAGGGTATACACATTTTTATAGCCCTTTGGGCATAGTTCCAAATTGCTCTCCAAAATGGTTGGATCAGTTCACACTACCACCAACAATGCATTAATGTTCCAATTTTCCTGCATCTTCTCCAACATTTATCATTTTCCTGTTTTGTCATGTTGGCCAATCTGATAGGTGTGATGTGGTACCTTAGAGTTGTTTTGATTTGCATTTCTCTAATCAATAGTGATTTAGATCATTTTTTGTAAGACTATAGATAGCTTTAATGTCTTCATCTGAAAACTGCCTGAAGTAATCCAAATTCTCAAAGGAAAAAATGATTATGCTAGCTGGGGGACTCAACTTACCCCTCTCAGAACTAGATAAATCTAACCATAAAATAAACAAGAAAGAAATTAAGGAGATGAATAGAATTTTGAAAAAGTTAGAGTGATAGCTGTTGTTTCTGAGTCATTTTTCAGTCCTGGACAACATTTTATGACCCCATTTAGGGTTTTCTTGGCAAAGATATTGGAGTGGTTTGCCATTTCCTTCTCCAGATCATTTTGCAAGATGAGGAACTGAGGCAAACAGGATTAAGTGACTTGCCCAAGGTCACACAACTAGCAAGCATCTGAGGCTGGATTTCCACTCACAAAGAGTCTTCCTGACTCTAGGCCCAGTGCTCTATCCACTGTGTCACCTAACTGGATGGGAATAGAAAGAGTATACCTTTTTCTCAGCTGCAGATGGCACCTTCACAAAAATTGACCAAGTATTAAGGCATAAACACTTCACAACCAAATGCAAAAAAGCAGAAATATTAAATGCATCCTTTTCAGATGATAACGCAATACAAATTATATTCAATAAAAAACATGAAAACATAGATTAAAAATTAATTGGAAACTAAAAGATCTAATCCTAAAGATTGAGTGGGTCAAAGAACAAATCATAGAAACAATTGATAATTTCATTAAAGAGGATTACAACGAGAAAATGTGCCAAAATTTATGAAATAGTCAGAACAGTACCTAGGGGAAAATTTATATCTCTAAATGGTTACATCAATAAAATAGAGAAAGAGTAGATCAATGATTTAATCATTCAACAAAAAAAACTCAAAAAAGAATAAATTAAAAATCTTCAACTAAACACCAAATTGCAAATCCTGAAACTCAAAGGAGAAATTAATAAAACTGAAAGTAAGAAAATCATTGACTAATAAATAAAACCAGAAACTGTTTTATTTTTTAAAATAATAAAATAAATAAACTATCAGTTAATTTGATTTAAAAAATAAGAACCAAATTACAAGTATCAAAAATGAAAAGGTAAATTCATCACCAGTGAAGATGAAATTAAACAATTTTTAGGAGCTGTTTTGCCTAATTACATATCAATAAATCTAACAATCTAAGTGAAATAGATGAATATTTACAAAACATAAATTGCCCAGATCCACAGAAGAGGTAATAGAATAGTTAAATAACCTTATCTTAGAAAAAGAAATTGAGGGGGCAGCTAGGTGGCACAGTGTACAGAGCACCGGCCCTGAAGTCCAGAGGACCTGAGTTCAAATCCAGCCTCATACCAAACACTTGACACTTACTAGCTGTGTGACCCTGGGCAAGTCACTTAACCCCAATTGCCTAAAAAAGAAAGAAATTGAATGAGCCATCAATGAGCTCCCTAAGAAAAAATCCTCAGGACCAGATGGATTCACAGGTGAATTCTATTAAACATTTAAAGAACAATTATTTTAATACCATTAAACTATTTTGAAAAATAGGCAAAGAAGGAGTCCTACCAAATTCCTTTTATGATGCTTATACCTAAACCAGGATGAGCTAAAACAGAGAAAGAAAACTACAGACCAATTTCCTTAATAAATATTGATGCAAAAAATGTTAAATAAAATACTAATAAGGAGATTACAGCACTATATCACAAAGATCATTTACTATGACCAGGTAGGATTTATACCAGGCATGTAGGGTTGATTCAATATTAGGAAAACTATCAGCATAATTGATCATATCTACACCAAAACTAACAGAAACCCCATGATCATCTCAATAGATACAGAAAAAGCTTTTGACAAAATACGATGCTCATTCCTATTAAAAAAAAAACACACACCAGAAAGCATAGGAATAAAATGGAGCTCTCCTTAAAATGATAAGTATGTTGTTGTTCAGACATTTTTCAGTGGTGTCCAACTATTCATGATCCCATTTGTGAGTTTTCTTGGCAAAGATACTGGAGTGGTTTGCCATTTCCTTCTGCAGATTATTTTACAGATGAGGAAACTAAGGCAAACAGGTTTAAGTGACTTGCCCAAGGTCACACAGCTAGTAAGTGTCTCAGGCTGGATTTGAACTCATGAAGAGGAGTCTTTCTGACTCCAGGCCCAGCACTCTACCTACTGTGCTATCTAAAACCATCAACAAGCATTATCTATAAGGTGGATAAGCTAGAAGCCTTCCCTGTACCCTTGGACATATCCCTTCTTGTCTTTTTAGCAGATTGCCCCAACCATCATCTCAACTCTTCTTCAATCTTTGATCTCTCCCTATCTATTAGCTCCTTCTCTGTTGTCTACAAGCATGCCCAAGTCCCCACCACCCTCAAAAAGCCTTCATTAGGTCCTATCTTTCCTACTATTTATCATTCTATATGTCTCCTCCCCTTCTCAGCCAAATTCCTTTAGAAAGCCCTAATTCCTCTCCTCTTAATCCCTTCTAAACCCTCTTCCTCTTCTCAGTCCTCATTCTTCTTAACTTCCCTTAAGCATCTTATACTGCTGATCATTCCTCCTCTGGGATATTCTTTCCTCTTTAGCTTTTCATGACACGTCTATCTCTTGCTTCTCCTCCTACCTGTTTGACTACTTCTCAGTCTCCTTTAGCTAGATCTCCATTATTGTCATGTCTACTAAATGTGGGTATACCCCAAGGCTTTGACTTGAGTCCTTTACTCCTTTTTTTTTTCTTTTTAACCTCAAATCTCATCAGTCATATCATCAGTTCCTATGGGTTGAATTATAGTTTCTAGC